AACCATTGCAAATGTACATATACGTGGAGAAAAATAAAAAGTACGAGATCAACAGGGACCACAAGTCCAATATCAAGTCGATAAAAAATACAAGTGTCAAAGAAAAGTAGAGCTTACTCCACACTCACCTTGAAAACGACAATCAAGCTTGCTACTCCCATTGACTGTGGCATTTGCAGGTAGGAGTTCCCATTGCATAACTCCCGTATTCCACTTGAATTCTGTGATGTTGTTTTTGGATGTCAAAAGTCGAATCTTCAGAGCTGGACTGCCGCTGCCGCACTGCATAACCCACTGCAACCTTTTTTCATAACGAATAACTTTTAATGATCGGTTTCGGGAGTCGTGAGGAACTAAAAGAAAATGGCGATGTCAGATCATATTTGGGGAAGGCGTGGGCTCAGTGCGAATAGAAAACAAACTTTGCTTTCCAAATCATTCCAAGTTTGACATCTCACACCTGCCATGTTGCTCGATAAGAAGCACTTCACCAGTAACGTGTCCCTTTCAACTACGTCGCGCAGAGCATCGATATTTAACGTCGCAAGCAATTAATATGTGGATCACCCTCGAATAAAAAAACCTCCTCAAATAGACAACGCTACTGGCACACCGTGACGAGAGGTGGCCCCCAAATTTTGCAATAAAGGTTGGCGGCCACTTGTTGGCTTCAAAATGGTCCTGACGATGAATTATGACATCTGATTTTGATATTTAGCGCGATTTGGCACCAACCGTAGGCGCCAACCCAAATGCAAAATTTAGTCGCCACGGGGGATCGAACCATTAACAGTACCTTATGCTTCTTTTTTGGTACTGCTAACCGTTCAGCGAAAATGAAACATGGTTTTGTGTTCCCTACATGCGTCCCTACAATATGCAAGAAACCGTTTTGAAAAAGCATGGTTTTTTTCTGAAAGACCCCTCATGGAGCCGAGAGATACGTTTGCCTTCTCAATTTTTCCGTAGTTCTAGATCGGACGTACCCATGCCCTCTCTAAATTCACACTAGAGCTAGATTTTAAAAATCGTAAGCACTTCCGTAGCAACGGCTACTGATTAGCGTAGAAGGTTCCACAAATCTATAAACCTGGAGAAAAAAGAGAGCCTCTACATTACTTCGATTTTATAGCGCCGCAATAATCGAACTAGAATACGTTCACCATATGTTCGCCACGCATATGTGTACTGTGTTCAGGCTGAGTCGCTGAAGAGGGAATGAAAAACTAGTAATAGTCAGTGCTAGGAATTGAAAGAAAAATGAAAAGGAGAAAAGAAATCACAATCGGCTGAATAAGGACAAACTCTAGCAGTGGCAACAGAATATCATTAAAGGCAGCGATTACGATAAAGAGGGAGCGCATTGGGAAGCATATGCACCACACGAATCAGTTACTTGGCTGCCAGGAAGCGAGGTGTAGCGCTTTCACGACGAAAGGTGCGCTGGTTGCTGAGCAGGACTTCGAAAGCACTCCGCCCCCAAAAGCGATCCGCCCACTAGTTTACTTGGTGATTTGGACGAGCAGCGGCACAACTGGAGCAACTCGATTGGAGCGTGGTTTGGCATGGTGCCACCAAACGCGTTGCGTGAACTCGTTCATACGTCCGCTTTCTGAGCTGTTACCTGTTCATGAGTGAAAACCAACGGCCAAAAAAGGGGTCCCGTTTTGCGTTTTCTTGACGGATTTCTCGCTTTTTTCGCCACTGGCGTACCATTGAGCACCACCACGTCTCCTAAACCCTTCTTGAATTTATCGTAATCGCTGCCTTTGAGACTGTTTGCGTAGTGCTGCTAACGAGACTACTACACGCTCTTAATTAAAAGGGTGTAGGTTTTCCTAGATTTTTCACGACTTACGCGCAAAATAATTCGATTTGGTTTGAGCTAATGTTCTACCAGACAAAACGACTATTTGAAGGAATATTCCGAAAAACCTACAGATTCATCCTGCACTATTTCATATGATTTCGTTCTATGAGCAGTTTGTTGCTAACCCTGGAACTCGAGGCGAGATGACGCATTGAGTGGTATTTTCGGGATCAAAAGTTGCTTATTGTCGTGCATCATCATCGTCAGCGTTGGCAAGAAGCCTATCTGATCTCAATAACCGCGGAACCACAGCTTCGTCTTTTTTCATGAACATGGTTTCCATAGATTTCAACCAGAAGAAAACAGGGCAGGACCAGATCTGTCGCTTGCCTCAATAAAAATCCCGTTCTTGATCACCTTGATGCTTTGCAAATGCGCGCTTTAAGATGATTCTCCTTTTACCTCTACTAGGTTTTTCCAGTCAATCCCTCAGAATTTAGTGTCTTACTCTCATTGCGTATGATTGAGTAAACACATCACTATTGCTAGAACCAAAACATGAATCACTTGTCACCGCGACGCCACACCAAATGGAACCGTTCGCAAATCCAAAACTCCATTACCGTATGCCATTGCTGTAACGGATTGTTCTTCAGCGTTACAAAAACCGTCGAAAATTTATCACCCACTAGCAAATCTGTACTTTGTATCATCCACTGGAGAGAATGAATGATTTTGTAGACGTTTAAAAATTACATCTCCTCACGGCCCTCATTACGCGTTGCTTTAAAGCCAGCCTAAGTTGAGAAAGTGCTATGTGAAGATATTAAGGAAATCTCGAAATCTCATAAGTGGTCACGCAACCTGAACGGATGAATTCGGGTTTGGGCCTTGTTCAACGAACACGAGATGCCAAAAGGTAGTAGAAATTTCATTGAGTGCTCTGTTTGTGGGCGATCCTGACATCAGGGTATCTCTTTCTTCTCGAACAAATTGACGACGATGTCTGTGCGTCGTGATTTTTTCGCCAAGTGCTTATAGCTGAAAACCGGTCACCTCCTTCAGCTTTTCTCTTTCACTTTTCAAAAAGCGCCTCCTTTCTGTGGCGAAAAATGCTTTGACAAATGATATTGCCAAAACCGGTCCACATTTTGTTCTCTCTCTCCTCCTAGACACGATCCTTCTCCTTACACAATCAACCGCAACCCCACCGTCACTGCGTCAAATGTTTGAATTCGACAACGCTATAGGGGAACTACGACTATCTCAAGGAAAGCTCGACTTGTTGCCGCATTGGACCCTCCCTTCCGTTCCATAAGGACGCATCCGTTAGACTGGCTGTCAAACGACCTCTACGAGTCAATGTGAGGGGCCCGTCAGAGCGATTCAACGATCACGAAGCCGGACGAGCGAGCGAGAAATTCTAAGAAGATAGCGCTTTAGCTATGTTCCTGTTTAATGTTTTTGTTTACAACTTTTTGGACATCTAGCCATTCGATTCCGCATGTTCGACAGATGTAGTAGTTTTCCTGATGTCTTCAAGAAAATTCTGCTACGAAACACAGAACACCATATATTAAAGTTTTTATTTAGCTTTGCTTGTTCGGAAAGACATAAGTCGCTCAGCGAACAAAAAGAAAATGAAGAGGTTCTGTGGCACAGGATACTGAGTGAATCGCGGTGCTCGCTTAATAACCGGGAGCGGTGCGAGGTGGAGGGCAGTGATCGCATCCTCCTGAAAATGGGTATTTGAGAATAACAATTGGAATAAGATCTGGCTGTTGATGAAAAGGCTATAAATACATGAAGCAATGACTCACCGGCAGGTCCAGTTTCTCCATCTGGTCCATTGTCTCCGTTGGCTCCAGGCTGTCCAGGAGCTCCTGCGGCTCCATTGTCTCCGGGAGGTCCTTGTGGTCCTGGCTGGCCTGGTTGTCCATCGGATCCAGGCTGTCCATCGGGTCCGGGAGGTCCCTGAGGTCCAGGTGGTCCAGGAGGTCCGTTGGGGCCGGGAACCTCGTGAAGCTGTCCGGGGGCACCAGGTGCTCCTGGGTTTCCTGGCTGTCCGTCGTTTCCGGGGGGTCCAGGTGGTCCCTGAGGTCCTGGGGGTCCAGCCTGTCCTGGTGCTCCGGGTTGTCCGTCTGCTCCAGGGTTTCCGTTGGGTCCCTTGGGTCCGGGGTTTCCAGGTGGTCCAGGAGGTCCATCGGGGCAGTCGAAGCAGAAGTCGTGCTGGGGAGCTGGGGTAGCTGGTGGTCCATCAGGTCCGTCCTTGCCAGGTGCTCCAGGCTGACCATCAGCACCATCCTCTCCATTTGGTCCTGGGGCTCCAGGAGGACCAGCAGGCGACACTCCACAACCGCAGCAACCTCCGTTTGAGCCCGAGTCGAAGCTACCCTCAACACCGGCTGAGGAGTATCCAGCTTGACGGCGGCTTCTGAGAGCTCCTCCAGAAACCTTGGCAAGCACCTAAAGAAGTTTGTGATAAGAGTGAAGTTATAGTTGAAGTAACCAACGTTAACTCTTGGGCGCATGATCTGCTCACCTGTGTTCGAGTCACCTCTCGCCAGATGTTTCCGGAGCGAGATTTGCAGAAGTCGACCTCGTTCTGCATAACCGACTGCATGTGCTGCATGTAGTTGTAGAGCATCGGCACTGAGATCACACAAACAAGGGTGGCCATCGTGGAGATGGCAACACCAAAAAAGGCGACTCTACGGAGAGAGTTGGCCTCAACCTCGAGCTCCTTCTCGTTGCTCATCTGGAACCGTTAAATAAGAGTTATCAGAAAGATTAGATTAGGTTTATTCGCAACGAATGAGAGGTTGTCAATGAAGTGTGCAGATGGAATGTTCTGATTTGATCGATCATGCGACAGGTTTCAAAAGTGCATGAAGAGATCAGATAACTGCATTTTCGCCCTAATAATTAGTGTGAAAGTCTGTCAACTGTTAGAACGTTAAAACTTAAAAATCTCAGCTAATTACATCGCAAAGGAAAAAACAGAGAGCTACGGTAGGATAACGATACGAAGATTCTAGTGTGTCGATAGAGAAGACCGGTGGGCCACATATAGAGGCAATTACAAGAATGGAGACCTACCGTTGTTGCGTAGGATGCAATACCCACCTGGTATCTCCCTGAGGCGAGTTGCCTTTTATAGTCGAGTAGGGCGGTGATTCCGTGGCTAGACGACGGCGAAATAGCATGTATCGCTCGTGAAACCTCCCGATATAGCGCACGATTCGATGAGATGACAGACCAAGGTCGACGTTTGACGCCGACGGGTTCCCTGTTTGTAAGCAGGCTAATGTTAATTAAGGTACGAAATCAAGATTGCTCATTGAATTGACTGAATTCTAAGGTACTAGACTAGATAGTCTTCTACTGGGTTGTCCACAAACAGCAGATTTCCCCTACGTAACTGATTTGGAACAGCGCTGGGCTACACAACTTCCATGTTCACTTGTAAAGAATTCTCCATGAATGTTTCTCATTTCCTACTTCGAAGCTCAGCCTCGGATGAATTCCGATTTGTGATCATTCTATGGCCTCTCAGGTTGTTTTATGACCTCACATCGTGTTAAGTCGTTTTCCATTGGACAAAAAAAGCTTGGCTGAAGCACATGATCACAACGAAAGTTGCCTAGCGATTGCTTGCTAGGGCAACTGACTAGCAGAAGCTTTTTAATCACCCCTGCAATCAGTTTTCTCTCAACTTTTTTACTTTCTTCAAGAACATAAAAGCCGTTGTGCTTGCCACTGAAGAGTGACACTTCTGTCGACCACTCGACTACGTAGACGTTGTGTAGAAAAATTCCAGCGAACTCGACTCATTCAGGAATTCCGTGCATTCGCGCAATTTTAGATTTGAAGGATTGTCATTGTTCTCAATTCAAAGCCTAATCTGAAAGCGGTTGTTCTGCTAGAAATCATGTTTCATTTCTTTTGAATTAGTGGAGAATAGCTTGAGTGCTGCTGTTATCAGTCATAAATCAGGCGTTTTATTTGACGGAATCGGAGTTCGGTTAGAGAGCATGCTTACTAAAACGAACACAGGGTTCCACCTTTAACGTGCTCGAAAAAACTGTTAGAGAAGTGGTGGTGAATTCGGAGAATACGCTACTCGTTCCACATTACTAAAAAGGATCTGATCGATTTCATTTATATGTTTCCTGAGTAATACTGTAATCAGATGGTACTGTTTGAATAGTATTTCGTTAGTTGTTCGTCTAAAATAACAAACATAGCCTTAAGGTCCAGATAGAGCGATTATGGCTATTGTTATGCACATCAATCAGTTTGACGGCACGCGACTACCATACGCAGTTTTCCCGTCTGGCAACACTGGGTCATCCATCGACGACGCACGATTAAGCGTTTGTATAGCGAATGGTTAGCATGTGTCGTTATGAAGTTCTGTCCGACTTCTTCTGTTTCAAAGCTTCTTTCGAGTATTCAGTCATTCAGCAAAGCAATCTCATTCATATAATTACTTCTCTTTTGCATGTGATCAAATTAGAGAGGTGTGTGTGTGTAGTGGATGTCGTGCGGTATCTCACATTTTCGTTTTGGGTCTAGGATGGCCTATCTCTGTCAAGTATCTTCTTCTTTTTTTCGCTAAAGACGCCAAGGTCAGGTTCAGTTCAAATTCAGTGTAACAGATATGCGAATTCTCCAACAGTACCCGCTCTCCTCTGCGATGTTTACACGTAACGCACACACTCACACACAGAGACAGTGCATATGCCCGCTGCTATTTCGCCAAGGACGTCGGAACCCCCTGACGTACAGCAACCTGTCAAATTCCAGTCTTTGACCCTTGAAAGTTGCCAAATCGAGTCTGTTCAGTTTAGAGATTTTTTGGTTGGTCCTGAATTCACAACTACCATAATCGCTGAATTTACACATCTAAGCTTATAAACTCGCAATCAAGCGGTCGCCAGTGAGCGCGAAATCACACTTTCGATCAGTGCGCGCATTAAATTATGCCCAGTTTTGATCAAACGTTTTCTAGATTGACGGCATTTTCAGCGCAGCTGCGCACTTGCTTATTGGCCTTCACTATTCCCTTCACTCCCTTGGTACCAGCTTCCGCTACCCCTATAGGTGTAGAGCATAACATCAAATCCCGCAAATAATTATCCTTTCAACCGAGGTATGGTATAAGGGTTGCATATTCAGAAAGGACCGTCACCGGGCGCGGCACATTCAACACTATTTTACTTTGTAGAGCTCTGACCTCTGTTTTTGATCGCATAAACCAGTTGAAGCTTCAAGTAGTAATGTAAGGGTATTAAGCACGACTTCATAGCCATAATACCTGGAGCAGCTATTCTGTCAAAGACTGATCCGAGGTTATTTCCATAATTTTGTTCGGAACGCTTTCAAAATTGAAGCAGTGCAATATCCACCTGACACTCACAATTATGCAGTTTCGTTTTTCACCCTTCAGTTTTCTAAAAACACTTACAAGGTTAGAATTAGTGAAGCGAGACTGGCGTAATCCTGTTGCTTGTGGGAGGTATAACGTGGATCAGGCTCGTATATCATTTGTCGTAACGGGTAACCTTCGAAACTTGTCCCCATGAAAGTCTCAAGTAGAGTGAGACTGGGGAGTGAGGTGATCGGAATCGTTTTACGCTGTGTCATATAAGGTATATGGCTTCGAGACATTCTGAGTTGATTCAGGACCTTATGACCCTTCCGATCACCTCACCTCAGGCATTCCATTGTTGCATGTTGAGTATACCAACTCTAAATTTATACGCTTACCATACGAAGCGAGGGCTTCTCGTCGTATGAGAGCCAATGCGGTCTTTCGGGTCATTGGCAGGCATGTTGACGGGTAAACCATTTTTCTCAAGAAACTTTTTTAAAAACCTCCAGCCCTGTCACATTAATTGGCACCTTTAGTAAAGTTTATCACAAATCCGGTGAGGGCAAAGCCAGTTGCTATTAAAACAACCATCAAATGTGCGTTCTTCCTAATGTGTATTACAACGTCTCGGTTCCCTTCAGATGACTTCCCTCCATCATAGCATACACACACACAGACGCCAACCTCTAATCGACAACATGATGTGCCCACATGCTTGTGATAGCTTTCTTTTCTCTTTTCGGTATACGATCAAGTGTGTCCTTTGAAGTTGGGTGTGACGGTAATCAGTTAGCACCCTGAACATACAAGTGTAACAAGTTGACGGACTAGAGGTACCTTCCAAATAAAAACTATTCACACTTGTCACAGACCACCCACGACGCTCAATAGGGTGTATCCGTTGTCTAAATTGTTAAAATGAAACACAAAGTGCATCCATGAGTTGCGTCGCATTTTCCGCTGAACGGATTAAATTTTGTGGTTTCACGAGAAATTCACAAATGCAAAAATGCAGTGCTTTATTGGGAACGAAAGACTACTGCTGATCTCCCTTGCCTTGATGAGACACACTGATAATCCCATTTAACCCTCATGTCTCCAGAGCTCACAACTTACCCTTAACTTTAACTGTATGCAGCTTGGATCGAAGTAGCCGGGAGTGGAGGGTGTGAAGTAGGCGGATAAGCGGCCGTCCCTCCATTGATGCAATCCTCTCGTCCTCCTGTCATGCCCTCCCCTCCCGATCTCAATCCCAGGGCACAGGCTAAATCCTTGGCCGACTGTTTGTTAGTAGATAATGATGTTGGTAAGAATCATTTGCATAGCTCATGCTCATATTTCCATCATACGTCAATGTAGGGACCACATGACAGATACGGCCCACATTAAGCCCCGTTGTTCATAAGCAAGCCTTATCAAAATCGCAAAAGCTTGGAACTACCTAATCGGTTTCGCCATGCAGTTACTGAAGCTGAGTAACTGTTTAGTAAAGACAAAAAGTCAAAGTTGAAAGCAGCACCGCACAAAGCGTGTCCTCTTGATGAAGCCTCTCCATAACTAACTCCATAACTCGTAATTGAATGTGTGACCTCCAGGAGCTTACGGGGTTCACACGTGTCGTCCGAAACACGGTTGCGCATTGACCGAAACATGTTTAAAGTGAAGTTTGACGTGTTGGCAATGCAGCGAATTGAAGGAATTCCGAAGAAGAGAAGCGCGGAAGTAGCGGGGGAGGAGGGGTGTGACAGTGCGGGGCTTATTTCCGTACAGGAAGCAAAGATTATGCTGTCCTTTGTCAGCGATCAAGAGTGCCGTCCTCAGACATCGAGTGGAGTGAGCTTTTTAAAAAATTAAACCACCCATCACCCTTCAAGCAATTCTCCTATGGCGCAAAAGGCATTTTGAATCTTACAGATCACAGCTTTCAGTCCTTTTCACCGAGCGTAATCTTGGCAAACTCATTTTGACCTTTGCTTGTAGTTGAATTCTTGTAAACGTTATGAAATCACTGGAAATAGTTTCCGATGACGTACAGTTTTATTTGGTTTGCTTTCATTTTCGGCAGAAACTTCGGCAGTCTGGTGGGATTGGCTCGTAGGCTCGGAATGCTGAAAGAAGATCTTTTTGTCTTCTGGAAAACTGCCATGCTTTCGCTGAATCTCTGGCGAATGCCCTAAACCTGAACCGCTTCGTTCTAGACTATACCCCACCGATGAATCACCTCCAGAAAATGTCGCTGTGCCAGAACATTCATCAGCAATTACAAAATGATTCATTTAACTTGCAAGTTAGTTATGGTCACCGAAATATGGACCACACACAACTAACTGGTAAAATATGGTTGTTTAATGGGAGTATTTCTTCCGTTTTGTTTTTTTTTTCTTCATGTTCTGCTCCAACTATCACTTCCTCCTTGGCCGTGTGACGCAGGCAATGAAACGTCGAGAAAGAACACTTTTCTCATAGCATGCAAAGGTGGAACCGAAATTTGAGCTGCGGGTGTCGTAAAAACCTAAAACTAGCAGTATCTCTCATCGACCTCATTACCGTAGACCACCAATACATTACTGTTACAAAATCGATACAAACCGCCTTGATAGAGTGGTTTGCCTTGATAATGATGTTTTAGGGAGAAGTAATGGACACTGCTTATACAGACAGAATTTTCACGTTCTGCTAGTCCACACCATCAGTGTTGTTTGAAGTGCAGAGATATATCGCTTAACTTTCGCGTGCGACACTGCGTGGGACGGGCTTGCGACCGGCTTGGTTGTCGTAGCGGTACAATGTGCGACTTTCGGGCGTTTTCTTCGGGCACTTCGAATGCGCAGATACCAACGGGTCGGGGATTGAGAATGGCATGTTAATCGTCAAGGACGGTATGCGTTTGAAACGATCAGTGCACAGAAAAAACCCGAGAAGGTCA